TTTCTCGCTATTGACACTTAAGTGATCGTTTTTCCTCCGATTTGGCACTTAAGTAAGCCGGCGAAAACTTTTAGCACTAAAATGAGCGCCGCACACAAGTTTTGACACTTTTACTGTTTTTCCCCCGCAATCCATGTGTCCGTGGTTTTGTATGCAATGGATCTACCAAGGGTTTTGGAGTTTTATGGTTGTCTTGGGGTCTCCTTTACTATTGAATTGACCTGGGATGTCCCTTCGCATTAAGAGGGCATAGCATGGTCTTGGAGGGAAATATGTCTCTCTTTTCTTGTTCTTTTCCTTTTGTTTTCTCAACCTCGATGCAATAATAACGTGTACTCACTCGATTACTATGCCCATCCACGACTCTTGTAGAACCCCCAAATATCTCCCTCTCTTCCGCCTATAAATACACACCAGTTTCAAGCTTCTTCTGTCGCTCATAACTCATCAGCAACGAAACGAACACCCCACACACACACACACCAAGTGTCGAGAGACGAGGTCTCGTTTTTTTCCAGGCGGGTAGCTTTCCTTGTTGGAGAAGCAGGGCACGTGCAAAAACCGAAGCTCCTTCTGTTCTGCAACGCCGTCGCGTTATTTGCACGTGCTCCCCTTCTCCAACACGGGTTCCCCGCCTTAGGCAACTCGATTCTTTCGACACAAATGGAGTGTTCGAGTTCATCGATCTCGCGTGTCTTAGGTAAGGGGTCTTCCTTGTCGCGTTTCGTTTGGTATACGTGGTGTTCATTGTATTGTGCAGTGACAACGATATGTTTGTTTTCTTCAGCTTTGTTTAGGTCTGTCAACTCTGCATAACTCCAGACGTTTGATTGATACTTAATACCCACTCGTCGTTCAACAAAGCTCTCTCGCAGATACATCGGAGCTTTACAAAAGAGAGAGAGAGAGAGAGAGAGAGAGAGAGAGAGTATGAGGCTCTCTCAATCTCCTCAGTGGCAACGTCTGTCATACCAGGAGGCTCCTACGCCTGCACCGACGAAGGTTACTTAGTGTTGCTGCTGATGATGTGCGAGAGTGAAACGATTATTTAGAGCTTCGGAGAGGTTAAACGAGTTCGTATATGTGTATATACTCACCAAAAGAATGGACAACTTGGAGTGAAAATCCGGCTTCCATTTCGAATGGTCCACCCTCCTCATGCATATACATGTATACACGACATTCATGGATTACAGTCTCATATTAGTATTCATCCTAGCGCGTGCATTTTGACGATACAACAACTATATTATCAACTTACACATTCACCATTGGATGAATGACATATGTGTTTAGAGTTAATTTCGCACCACAAATTCTCGCAAATTTCAATGATCCAATAGCGAGCGTGACCGATACAATCCTTCTTTTTTAATACATAATTATCTAGATACATTAAACTAAAGCAGATCAAACATAACTTGAACACGGTGTGTTTATAATTCATATCAGTTCGTGTCAATATTATTAGAATACCATCTTTTTCTAAATCTATAAGACACAAACGGAAAGCAGATTGGATCGTGTTCGATATTGCTAACCCTATAGCAACTACACATGTACTGGAATCATGTTGATCGGCATACTTATTGATTTGAAGGAAACTTATACATCATCCCTAAGGCTGTTGTAGTTGTATAAGATTCAGTTCGTCGGAAGAGCTATCACCGATCACCACTGCCAAAACAAAGCGGAAAAGATAAAATGGATAATTAGCTGATATACATATATATATATACACACGAGTTATGAACAGGTCAAATCTGGGTAAAGAAAAGGCAGATACTAATGCATGACTCTCTGTCCTCACTCAAATCATGCAGGGTCCACGAACAATCTATGTACACATTATCATTGATAGCCTCAATGGATGTGATTGACCCATTTTACAATATATCGTCAACTCAAGACGGTTGACTTTGGCATGCGGAAGCCATCAGAGCTCACGATTTTGAGTTCTAAATTCACGTGACAACTTCGACTTGCTAATTTAAATGTATGCTATTGTAGGGGTGATCGGTTCTGCCCAGTGACTCCCGGTTCAAAATATTAGAATTGGTCCAATTTTTGTTTTACCCAAAAAAAATCAAATTTTTATAACAAAACATAAACGTTGCACCATTTTATTATAAAAACATATGTTGGTCAAATGGCCATATTGTTATTTATTCATATTAAAGATCATGATTCAATTCTCCATGTACACAAAAGCGGAAAAATTACCAAAAAAGTCCTAAACCTTTTATAATTGTGCCAATTCAGTCCTAAACCTTTTGTAATTGTACCAATTCAGTCCATCCGGCCACTTTTGGCCAGTCGGTGCTGACGTGGGCGCCGGTCGGTTGACGTAGCAATATTTTAATAATTTTTTATTATTTTTCGAATTTTATTTTATTTTTTTCTCTTTCTTTCTTTTTCCCCCTATCTTCTTCCCTGGTCGCCGGTCCGGCGACCGGCGAAAGGCTGAGGCCGACGAGTTCCACCTCGCCGGCCATGGGCGAGGCTGGCCCTTGCCGGCACTGGCGAGGGCGAGCCTCACCGTTGCCGGGCGAGGTCGACCTCGCCAGATCTGGGCGAGGCCTCGCTCGGTCATGGCCTCGCCCGGTCATGGCGAGATCGACCTCGCCCAGCCATGGCGAGGCTCAACCTCGCCCGGTGATGGCGAGGCTCGCCCTCGTCCTGGCCATGGCAAGGTCGACCTCGCCCTAGCTAGTACCGGCGACGGTGAGGCTCGCCCTAACTAGTACCGGCGAGGGCCAGCCTCGCCGACCTCAGCCTCTCGCCGGTTGCCGGACCGGCGACCGGGGAAGAAGATAGGGGAAAAAAAAAAAGAAAGAGAAAAAAATAAAATTAAAATATAGCCACGTCAGCCGGCCGGCGTCCACGTCAGCGCCGGCCAAAAGTGACCGGATGGACTGAATTAGTACAATTGCAAAAGATTTAGGACTGAATTGGCAAAAAAAAAGGTTTAGGACTAAATTGTCACAATTCCAAACGGTTTAGGACTTTTTTGGTAATTTTCCCACGCAAAAGCATCTTCTACTTTTTTTCCTAAAAGACTAGTTCAACCCGGGAACCGGATCGAGGGATCTGGTTCCTGAGTAAAACTGGCAGCTCCAGCCTTGGAAATGAGAATCAGACTAGGAATCGATTAGTTCTAGGGTTCCAGAATCGAGAATTGGATCGGTTCCCTTGAACCACTCTCAACCCAGCTGAATGATCGGGTTCCCAGGTTGGGTCCACGTGGATCGGTCCAACTCATTGCACATAGATTTGAATGTTTAAGGATGAGCCCAACCCCATTTTGGACTAGGCAAAGATTCAATGGGCCAAAGATCATGGCATTGGCATGGGTTATCCTGACCAGCTGGCATGTGTAAGCTTCGATCCGATTGGGGCCAAGGACATGAGTTTTTATGTATGTATTGCTTAGGAATCAATTGAGGAGACTCACCAAGTAATTTTCCCCAAAATGAATAAATAGATCAAGAGAGACACAATACTATGCTCTTGAATATCCAGCATGTCCGCTCATATGTCTTCACACTCCAATGCTGACTCTCTTTCTTCTCATCCTCCTCTACATACAATACAGCTATTACCGCCTTTAAGGGTTTGACGATCAAATGCTGACTCTCTTTCTTCTCATCCACAAGACACTCCTAACCAATCCATCGACTCACTAACGTGCTGTGCGATCGCCGGGCATTGGACAGATAATACTTAAATATAACAAACCGATCAAAAAACCAACTTGTTTATACCACGATACGATAGATTCTTGTTGGGTCGTAAATATGATCCACTTGCTTAAATACCCACATACAATCGATCGCACTAGTTCGTAAATCAACTCTATAAACCAACCGGAGTATCTCATGCTGTATAGCATCTGCCTTTTTGAAGGCTACGCGAATGGTGCATTACATACACACCATCAAGTATCTAATACCCTTTAACAATCGCAAAAGGTTATTGCAATTGCATTTCGCAGGCGAGGACTCAAGTTCAACACCCAAGAGTCCTCGATTGATTTGCTTCACCGAAATAGAATAAGGAGAGCAGCCGAGGCTCTACCATAAGCATCCTCAGCTACCAACATTTTCTTATTTTGGGAGTTTAAACCGTCAGTATTTGTCTGACCCTGTTTTTGTTTTTTTTATCCGATGCAAGCCGTCATTGAGAAGACTAGAATTACCCTTTGAAAATTAGGTCGTACCAAGAGGGGCAAGCTCCCAGCTTACTTGTTAGGTGGAACGTATATCTTTGTTTGTTGGCTTGCCTAGATTCTGGAATCTGTGTTTACGTTGTCTGGTTCTTGAAAGTCAGGTGGCACTTTTCCACCGAAATCTAATCGAGCTTTCATGTGGTCACATAGATCAGATGTCGTTGTTTCTCTAGTGGTTAACTACCCTTCCCTCTGCCGGGGTTAGGTGGTGCTTCTACTCCGGCCTCGGCAAGTCCGCCATTTTGCTATTAGAAATGGGTCTCTCTCTTTCTCATGCCTGCCTTCCCCGAGTGGACAACTTACCCCTTTCTTGGGCTCGACAACCGTCAGATCTTGTGGGACCACGTGAGACCCACCTAATTCCCAAAATGCTTAAGCAAGCAACTGGAAAAGGGAAACCATACTAGAGTTCAAAACTATACTTCTCGTACTATCTTGAAATCGCACCCTCCAGCAGCACACGGCAAGTGCTTCCTTGGCTGGTGAATCGCTTAAAGATAAAGCCGTCGAGGAACTAAGCCGCAAAGGGAATTATCATATGCGCATCCGCTAGATAAAATGGTATGCCATTATTTCCCACCGATAGACTGAAACGCTTTTACCCTCAAACTACAAAGAGAAAAGGCACAATCTTTACCATATGCAAACATCTGCTCAGAACGAGACTAGAGGAATTCAGGAATCCCCCAAAACGGCGATCTTCCGATAGCAAGCTACCGTTCAATGACAAATGAAAATATTGGCCTTTATCCATAAGACGATGAAACGTAAATTTGACACTACCACGTGTTTGTTCACTTCACATCTTAAATATTCTGCATACTTAGCCAAAAGGCTGAGGAAGGTATCTTGACATACTCACAAAAAAGTACAGGAAAAAGAACAAACATGCTATTTCTAACAACAGCAAAAGGAAGTGGCACCGAAGCCTCTGACAAAGAGAAGGAATAGAGGGATTAAGATTGCTTTTGCATCTCAGAGTTCCTCGAATCCATCTTCATCCCCTTCTTCCTCGACTCTCTGGAATTCTCTCCTCCATGTTTCCATCTACCATTGTGTGTTAAATACAGCAGAGTCAGGATCTACAATCTAGTCATTTCTCGACATGAAAACAGCGAAACCACACATATAGTTAAATCGACCCTTCTCGTCTCAGGTCCTCAGGCTCTACGCAGTGAAGAAAGCAAAGCGGGATGGTTTACAAAGTATTTGTCCATTGAACGTACACATCATTGCCAAAAGTTTAGAAAATGAACTCTATGGACCTGATCAGAAGCCATCTTTCTGAAAATATCAATGAAAACGTGTGACCTTATAAAGATGCATAGTAGGGCAACCGTTGGACCATTGTCAGATTAGAACTCAACATGCACTGTTTAGAGGAAAGGACGATTCAATGCTATTTTATTCTCCAAGATAGTTGTTCACTCAGTGTAATTTGACAAAATGAGTCAATGAATGCACTGTTTGCATGCCCCTCCAGCTTATAAACCACCATCCGAAGTACTGATTTTTATCAAAGCAAAATCAAATTCTCACAAAGCACTGAGTAATTGAGATGTGGATGTGTTTTAACAATATATTGACTTAGAATACCGAGAAATAAATCTAGAGAATGCTCAAATTACAGCTGGAGATGAAGGAAAAGTTGGTCCAGGAGACGACCCATCTTACCTGAGCATCAGAAAATCGCAACTGTTCTGCAACAAATAGTATTTTTCTGTATTCTTCTGATGTCAATTGCTTGCCTAAGTTCCTTGCAACTTCGTCGTAGTTAATTATGTCCACTCGGAAACCGTTGGTCATGAAAAGCTTGTCCATCCATTTTCCAGAATCAAACTAATTAGGAGAAAACCCTACCATTTGAGTGTCTCACAGAGCTATATATATAAACTGCGAATAGCTAGGATATATGAATTGCATGTAACATGAATCAAATTTGAGACCAGCATCAAACTATTAGAAATCTCACATTTCTTCCAATTCCAGTATCTGCCAGCCAGCCAGGCAATTCTCCCAAAAAAAGGCTACCATTCATGGCCATACTACTAACAACAAACAAGATATCCTCGAAACTTGCCAAATTCATAAGAAGCAAGCCCTGCAAGAGTATACATTAATGAGCAACTAAATCCATGCCACTACTCCACTCTACGATCCCATCATCAACTTGAACAGTCTTAAGGAGAGCATTACCTGGATCACCCATATACTAGGCCGACTTCCATTGAAGCCCTTTGTGTGCAAAACATGCTGCAAATTGGATGACGCCAAGGGGATGTGATAGAATAAGCAACTTCTTGAAATTTTAGCCCCAACACCTGGTAGTTTGGACATTGAAACAATGCAGGTCATAAAGAAAAGACAAGTCTCTGTAACATATTAGGAATTTGTGATGGCGGGAAACCAAAAGCCAAAAGTATGACTCTTCACACAAATCTCATTGCTTAAACTAGCCTTCGGTAAGTGAACATCACATGGTTTTTTTGCATAAAAATCATTACATGGCCTATCCTTACACAAATTTTTTAAGATGGGAGCACATGAAGACTGCAGAAAGGAAAATCTCTTGCAGCGAAACTTTAATTTGAAATTTCATAAACCACCAAACCAGTAAAAAAGGGCACCTTCAAGTTTTTCAGCTGCTATTTTGTATAATTCATCTGGAGATATGTCAAATATCAAGGTTGAACTTGGCCAATTAAGTCTATAAGGACGAGTATCCATGCCATCTGTTAGCAAAACAACCTACATAACGTAAGTAGAAAGCAATAATGTTTTCCAATAATGACTGTTGCTTAGTTTGTCCCGACACGAAGAGCAAAATTTACCTGCTTGAGCCCATCAATACGATTGATAATATGAAGCAACTTATCATCAATATATTTAGTTGCAAGACAATAATGGTGTGTCTGCTTCTTCGTGTCCACTTCATTATCAGTAGAAACAAAACAACCGGCATATGGATCGACGAAAAGAGGCTCTACAAATAAAAGCATTAATCAATCTCGAGCTTGCAAATGCAATGTCTCCAATATGAATCTTCATAGATAGAAGTGGTGGATTCAGAAGTAAGCACTACTCCAAGCTAATAGACATATTCAAAAGAAAACAATCAGGCTTAGTTATTAACATAAGAAAGACCAAATTAACAATTAGCAATCACCTAAAAGGGCATGAAGGTTGGACTGGAATCGCAATTCCGTTTCTATTACAATTTATCATGTTTTTCCTTCATTAAAACCAAACACAAATTTGAATATCTACATTTCATTTTCTTTCATTCTTAGCTTCGTATCCTTACTTCCTCCGTTCCAATCCTGTTCCATTACTTAACATCATACGCCCAAGAGAGACCTTCCTTCGTGGCCAAGATATCCCTTTTACTATTCATTTTCCACTCATTTTTAAAAGTCCAGCGTATAACCATGAGAAAGCAAGAGGCCAAAACTCGTGAACACCATTGCTATCACGCCCCTCACCGTGTTCGATGAAATGCGTACCCGAACAGAGACCGAGGAGGAATCTACTTGCCTGGTCGAAGGGTCTCTCGGAAACGAAGAGACGCGGCACTGAGGGCAGATTGGAGAAATGGGTCACTCCCGTCGCCGAGTTTCGCCCTCAGTCGGACCCCAGAAGTACCCATCAGCTTCGGCCGCCAGACAGGAGTGCGCCGCCAGACAGGAGTGGCCGGCGCAACTCCGAACCCCGCCGCCACATGCTCCGCACTCGTCATGGTCAAACGCCGGACTGAATCGAAAGTCTCATCGTCCCCTCGCTCGCGCTCAATCCGCAGTCCGATGTCATGTTTGTTTGCCCTGAGCGCTGAGCGAGCGAGCGACGAGCGTCTATCTTCTTCCGAGATGTGTCGTTCCAGCGTGGAAACGCATCGAACCGGTGGAGGAATGGGATCAGACCGACCGAATCGAACGGATCGTGCGGTCTGATCTCCAACGGTCGATGTCCAACCGGTTCACATGTAATTTTTGCCATATTTTTTTAGATTTATATAATATATTAAATTCTGCTTTATCTAAAAGCTATATACATTTTTTTTTATTTTTAATAATACGTAATATCTGAATCTTTCGGCTCGACTGATTCATAAAAAATACAGGTAAATTTCTAATTTGATAGGTAATAGGTCAAATCCACTCACAAGATGACGAGTGTAACCCTCACGGTTATTTCATATATTGCGATTTGAACGCAAAACCCATGTATCCAAACCAAGTGTTTATAATCACTCGGCTAATCCCCTTGCGATAGTTTCTTTGTTTTTGGCTTCTAGGATTTGAATTTCGGATCACAAGATCAACAAGCTTATAGATGCAATTTCCCATTATTTGCATACAATCTCTTATTTTCTTCATTTTAATTTTTAGGGTTAATACCTAAAAACCTAAGCTATACATTTGGACACATTTACAAACTATTTTTGACCATAAAAACCCAATCCGATTTACGACAACAAAAAACCCAAGTGTACACTGTGACAATTTTACCTAACTAATTTTTAATTTTATTTTTTATTTTTTGAATTTTTTGAATTTTTTCTTTTTCTTTTCTTTTCTTTTTTTTTTTTCTTCACTTCAACCTCCGGCCGTCGCGGTCAGTACGCCAGCGAGCGCGAGGCGCCTCACTCGACTCGGCCGGGTGACCCCGCCGGATCTAGCGAGGCGGTCCTCGCCTGGGCGAGGGCCGCCTCGCCAGCCGACGCAGCCGCCTGCCGCTCGAGCGAGGGCGTCTGCCGCCGCGGGGTGCGCTCGCCCGGCCGAGAGGGCGCCTCGCCGCGCAGCGAGGTGGCCCTCACGAGTCGGGCGAGGGTCGCCCTTGGCGGCGGGTCGCCTTGCGGCGGGCGAGGCAACCTCGCCGAGCGCGAGGGTCGCCTCGCCATCCGGCGAGGCGGCCTCGCCGAGTCGCGAGATCGCCTCCGGCGGCGAGGCGCCTCGCCGACGCAGGCGAGGCGCCTCGCCGATCTGGCAGGACGGCTCGTCCGACGCCGCGGCGGCCTCGCCAGGCACGCTCTGGGTCAGCCCAGGCCGGCCGCAGGTGAAGATAAAAAGAAAAAAATAAAAGGAAAAAAATAAATAAAATAAATAAAAATTCTAAAAAATAATATTAAAATTTTAATTCGAGGTAAAATTGTCACATATGTAGTTGGGATTTTTGTGGTAAGTTCGGGTAAAATTGTCACGGATGTACAGGTTGGGGTTTTTATGTCAAAAAATAGTTCGGGTAAAATTGTCAGCGGGTGTACTGGGTTTGGGGTTTTTATGGTCAAAAATAGTTTAGGGTAAATGTGTGAATTAATCAGGTTTAGGGTTTTTCGTGGTATTAACCTAATTTTTATATTGTCAAGGTGTCTTGGTTACCTAATTTTCCCAATATAATAGCATCATTTTTTTTTTGCGGTGTAGCCCACGCGCCTTCAGGTACATTTGTCATTCCGAGTCGCGCTCGCAGCTAACGTCGAGTGGCTTACCGAATTTTTAAGGTGTTGGGTTGCCTTTGAAGTACAAGGAAGGAAGTTCGGATGGTCAATGGTCAACGTGAAAGCATTTTGGGGAAGAAATCTTGCATGAGAAAGAATTCAGTAGCACGACGGATGGCTACCATTGGATGCTAATTCCACGTTGTAAATGTACATAATTGGGAGGTGGGTGGGGCAAGAGAGTACCGTATTTGGGATTCGATTCACGTGAGTACCGCCCACACATGTACAAGAAAAAGAGGAGCGAGACAAAAAAAAAAGAGTGATGAATTTTGTGGCTCGACTAATCGCCTAAGGATACATGCTAAACCCCCTCCACACCACATGTGTCGAGTAAGGGTCCACCTTAATTATAATGGGTGTGGACCTCAGGGTAATTATGAATGGGTAATGTTGTGATATGGATATAAATCAAGTGATGGGGGTGAACATGGTACCAGGTAGAACCTGGAACTTGACTAGTGGGAACATATAGGTTTTAGGTTCCAAGGAATATAGGGTAGGTTCCAGGTTCCAAAAATTGGAGAACCTGTTTCGACGAGTAGGTTCTAAGCTTGGAACATGAAACCTGGAACTTGAAATCTTAAACAAGTTTTTTGTATTTTTTTCTTAATCCATATCTTCGCGTGATCCTGCGGTGTTCTATAGCATTAAATAATGAATATATAATTTGAAACCATTAGTTTGAGCTTTCAGAAAATAGGTGGGTTCTAAGGAGGGGAGTATGGTTTGGCCAAAGACGCAGGATTATGATTTTATGACTTGTTAATGTTTTATATTTTTCATGTCTTTAAATATAAGTTGTGGTTAGTTGATCGTAGTAGCAAGTGATGATCATTAAAGCTGATAATTCACTACAATTGTTCAATTAATAATATAGGTGGAACCTGAGTAGATCTTGAAACCGACCTTGGAGGTTCTAGGTTTCAAGATATGTAGGTTAGGTTTCAAGTTCCAGAAAATGAGGAACCTGTTTCCATGAGTAGGTTCCAGGTGGAACTTGTACGGAACCTGGAATCGCTGTACAAAACCAGGAACCGTTCAACCCTAGATAGTAGTGTCAAGACGGTGGTCGGGACAAATCTCGAATCAAATTTGGATGAATGTGCTTGCGCGGGTGGAGTTTGAGGCTAGGGTGTTTTTGGGAGGCTTTCTTCCCGAGCAAGGGTAATTTAGGGCCCGTTTGGTTCGATTTTGGATGAATGCCTTTGGAGGAATGCATATACCTTTGGGCTAAAGGGGTTTTCCGAAATACAAGTAATGTTTGGTAAGTGTTTTTTAAAATCAACTTGGGCTAAAGAACTTTTGCTAATATTTAAAAAAAAAAAAGTTCTGGTGGAGCTTAACCACCGGCCGCCACCGCCACCACCGGCCAGATCAGATCGTCGGCTGTCAGATCGCTGGCCACCGCCGCTTGACCTTAGGCGAGGCGGCATGAGGTCGCGTGACCTCAAGCGTCACCTAGGTTGCGCGACCTAGGCGACGCTCGAGGTCCGGCGACCCCAAGCGGCGGTCGTCGGGGTCGTGCGACCCCTAGGCACTGGTCGCCGGGTTCAGCTAGCCCTCAAGTGGCGGTCGCATGCCGCCGGACCTGCCTCTAGGGAAGATAAACAGTCGCGATGAACAATGCAAGTTGCATTCCGAAAAATGTAACTTCTCAAGGCACTTCCACCCTTGCATTGGCCAAAAGTCTCTTGAAAAAACATTCCAAATGTAATTACATCTCCCTAAAGTGAGTAGAAAAAGTTGTCAAATACCATTTGCATTTTAACCAAGAGATTTTATAATCCAAATGAGTATTTCAAATGCTGAAGCAAATGGGGCCTTAGTCATCATATTTGTACAACGGGGTTTGGGATGCAAATCAGTAGTTTTCAAAAGAAAGCCATCCCCATTAATTATGGGGAACCTCCAAAACAGTGACAACACACGGCAAGAACATAGTGGGTGCACTTAAAATGGTCATGGACTTCTCTTTAATCGGGCCACTTAAGGGGGTCTTTTAAGGAACTCCACAACAATTTTTTTAGTCTAATCTTCGGCGATTATTTAGAATGCCCGGTGGCGGTTTCCGTCGGCTCCCCCCTACCCACCAAACCGAAGGGGCGTTTTGGGAATCCCCAAAACGCCCCCAACGTCCCTGGGGGGATTGAAAACCACAGCCATTGAAAGTTAGCAGTGTAGGAGAGCAGGAGCCCAGGAGCAGCAGCAGCCAAAGCAAAAGGATTGGCAAAGGAAAAGGTTAGGTGGTCAATCGGTTGGAGGTGGAAGGAAGGAAGAAGAAGAGGGAAGGAGAAGAAGGACAGAGATAGGATTGGAATCACTATTAAAACCCCTCTTCCATCTCCCTCCCTTCTCTCACCCACCTACTCCTCCTCCTTTCATTCTCCTCTTCTTTCCATCCATTCCCAGTGTCTGCTGCCGCTCATCCTCCAGCCATGGACTCCCACCACCAATTCGCCGAGAATTCCCATGACAACGCCGCCCCCGACGAGCACACCCACCACCTCGCCGTCGCCGCCCCCCCCCTCCCCCCTTCGCCACCGCCTCCCTCTCCCTCTTCGCCGCCGTCCAGCCCGCCACCCATTTCTTCCAGCAGCCCAAGATCTCGTCTTTGTTCGCCGCCGCCGCCCAGCCCGCCAAGGCCCGTGTCCCCACCCAGGCCTCCTCCCTCGCCCACCTCTCCCTCTCCGCCTCCACCGCCTCCCCTCCCAAGATCTCCTTCAGGTCCACCGTCTCCGCCAACCCCCTCCAGAGCCCCCTCACCCTCGGCCCCCACCGCCCCCTCGACCCCTCCGGTGCCGCCGGCCTCCGCCGCGCCTCCGTCGTCTGGTTCCGCAGCGACCTCCGCGTCCACGACAACGAGTGCCTCAACGCCGCCCACAACGAGTCCATGTCCGTCCTCAACGTCTACTGCTTCGACCCCCGGGACTACGGCAAGTCCACCTCCGGCTTCGACAAGACCGGCCCCTACCGCGCCTCCTTCCTCCTCGAGTCCGTCTCCGACCTCCGCCGCAGCCTGCGGGACCGCGGCTCCGACCTCGTGGTCCGGGTGGGCCGCCCCGAGGAGGTGCTCGCCGAGATGGCCAAGGCCGTCGGGGCCGAGGCCGTCTACGCCCACCGCGAGGTGTCCCGTGACGAGGTGAAGTCGGAGGAGCGCATCGAGGCCGCAATGAAGGAGGAAGGGGTGGAGGTGAAGTACTTCTGGGGGAGCACCCTGTTCCACGTCGACGACCTGCCGTTCAAGGTGGAGGACATGCCGACGAACTACGGCGGTTTCAAGGAGAGAGTGCAGGGGATGGAGGTGAGGAAGACGATGGCCGCGTTGGACCAGCTGAAGGGATTGCCCAAGAGGGGCGACGTGGAGCCCGGAGAGATGCCTTCCTTGACGGACTTGGGTGTGAATCCTAGTGCCTCCATGGCTCAGGTTTGTCTCTTTTGCTTGGCCAAATCGATCTTATTTCGGTAATTCGTTTACCATTTGAAACGTTGACGGGTTCGTTTGAGATTGATCTTGGTCTCTGCATAGTGTAGCGTGTTCCTCTTGACCAAGTCCATTGCATTGTCAATTTGAGTTGATTCTGTCTTTGGGATGCTTAGTTTGAACAGGTCGAAGCTGGTAATGTGTCACTGAGTTGAAGTAAGATGCCTCGGGTGCAAAATTTGTTTGGATCTTCTGGATGTTGCTTGTATGATTATATAATTCGAGCACGAGCATTTTGTCTTTTCTTATGTGATCTTGCGCGGACAGATGTAATAGAAATGGATGTGACGTCAAGAGCGAAGCTTAACTGTAGTGTCTGTTATTTTGTTTTTTTCAATTGCTAAAGTTTGGTATTAGTATTTGTAATAATCTATCTTTTGGGGCATACGATGATTCTTTTGCCGTCTCAAGAGTTAATTTACCTAGACTTAAAGCTGAGCTAGACCCATAACTTACTTTGGAATGATTTAGAGAGCTCTGAATCACGCTTTCGCTTAATGAATCATTTGGTAATTGCTAGACAAATTGGTTATATTTGATTTTGGTTTCTTGGGTATCAGCGTGATGGTAGCCTGTTTACATGTATGCAGGATGGTAAGGCGCCTTCTATGGTAGGGGGTGAGACCGAAGCTCTTCAAAGGCTCAAAAAATTCGCCGCCGAGTGCCAAGCACAGCCAAACAAGGGGACCAGCAATGATAACATCTATGGAGCCAACTTCTCTTGCAAGATCTCGCCGTGGCTGACCAACGGATGTATCTCTCCACGTGCCATGTTTGAGGAGCTAAAGAAAACCGCCTCTAAGTAAGCGTCTAACCAGATTAAAATTTTTGTCTCGTTTGGCTGTCTTAGGTCGGATAAATCTCAATGATATGATGAGTGCTCATTGCAATTGAATTGCTTGATTGACAGCGTAATCTCAGCTGCCTCCAAGAACGACGACGGTGGCTCATCTAGCACTGGATCTAACTGGTTGATGTATGAGTTGTTGTGGAGGGATTTCTTCAGGTAACCATCTCGGAAGATCTCAATTCTAGTCTAGACTGAGTTGTGTTATAGATCCTACACCTTTCCCTGTTTAATGCTTCTGCGAAGGTAAACTTATGACCAAAAGGTCGTAACTCTACACTTACTGCCTTACTGAAATTGTTCAATTGCCGGGTTACTTTCAGATTCATCACCAAGAAGTACAGTTCGCCAGTGAAACAGGGGGCTCCGGCTTGCACAGGTGCTCTCGTTTGATCTGAGAAGGGTCGTGGAGGTTGAGATGGCGATCTGCTTTGGGGATTAAAAAGTTTTATGCTATCGCTATTGCGAGCTGTAGCTCTTAGATGTTTTTGAGTAGCCTTCTACAAGATAGCTGGTGGTTGTTGTTGTTGTGATCTTGCCACAAATAAACTGGTGGAAACATGAAATCATTTCCCTTTAATAGATGGCCGGCGCGAGCCCGAAAATTTCCTATATGTCCGTGTCTTTCATTTTGTGACTTTCATTTTGTGACGACGGAGCAGAAAGTTTCTGCTCTGCTTTCTTTCTCTCTTTTCCAGTTTATAGATCCATACTGCGAATAATATTTGTGCTTCACTTCGAGATCTGTCTATTTATTAGCCTCTGCTAAATGATAAGATCTTCACTTCGGATTATTCCAAAGGAAGATGATCGTAATATGGATTTCGAGACTGCAACTGTTCTGTCGTGAATACTAGTAATATGACCTGCACAAGGGGGCTTGAATTGGAAGAGATGAGGTACCCTTTTTCATGCCAGAAGCTGCAATGCAATTCCAAACAAATACGAAAACTTTCGTTTACTGATGAATTTAGGAGAGTTGCTTTGTGGGTCTCGCCTTGCCGAGGCACCCGCTAACGTCGCAAATGATACCGCGGTGGTGCTCCGAGCGATTTGAGGACTACTCAACTCTTGACAATAACATGCGTGGGCCGGTGCATTGATAATTTCAGAACTCGCGGTGCAATATCATTTATTAGGCATTGTATGCCCGGTTTGTAGATCCGTTTTGGGCTTCGAACGTGGCCTTGCACACTACACAGAATCGAATGGTTTGAGGAGGTGTGCGGGATTGAATCACACGGTACGATCTCGAACGCTTGCCCATTGGTCACAAAAGGACGTGCACTGGTCCCTAATGATCACACTGTCCCACGCCGAGGACGAGGGGCTCGCTCTGGGTCCGGACCATCTACTATAGAGCCTTGCCCTTAAAGAAGAAAGGGCAAGGCACTATAGATTCTTAGAGCACGAATGATAAAATTTTTCTTTTCTGGACCTATTTCTGGCAAGAAATTAAAAAATTTATTTCTTTTTTCCCGAAGAATTTCTGAGCCAAAAAATAACATTTGACAACGACACAAAATTTCTATTCTCAAATTAAATTGCTTCGATAACGACGCAAATTTCTATTTCCGACTGCCGACTAGTGGCAAGGACGAAAGCGAAATGGTCAAGCGGGCGGCGGACAGCCGATGAGCGACGATGGTAGTGGGCGGCCGCAGGGCGGCGGGGCGATGGCGGACGCGGTGGTGGCGAGGTGGCAAGTGGCGGCGGTGGCGATGGACAGGTGCTGCACGGTGGCGGATGGATCGATGGTGATGGTGGGCGAACGGTGGGCGCGCCCGGTGGAGGGCCAGCTGGAGCAGGCCTCGGCGGGCGAAGTGGGCAACAAGGGTGGACGGCGGGTGGTGGCAGCCGCGGCCGGATGGGGCGGCGGAGGCCAGCGGCGGTAAGGACGAGCGGCGCGAAAGCGGGTGGTGGCGGTGGACAATGCGTGGCCGGTGGCTGGCCGGGCGAGTGGCGACGAGCCGGGCGGTGGCGGGCGGCGGGCGGGGAGCGGCGGCAAGCGACAGTGGATGGCCGTCGACGAGCAAGGGCGTAGCCAACCGGCGGCTAAGCGAAGGCACACGAGGCGGCACGCGGCAGTGATGGTGGGCGCGAATGGCGCAAGCGACGGCGGCGCGATCGGCGACCAGGCGCGAGGTGGGCCGGTAAGGATAGCTGCGATAAAGAAAGTTGTTATTTCTATTCTGTGAAACAGAAACATAAAAAATTTTAACTTCTCATTTATGTTCCAAATCTATTTTTGAGCCAAATTTGTCCTAGAAATAAAAAAAATGAAATTATTTTACCAAACAAATTTCTATTCTAAACCTGTTCCGGGAAAAAAAAAGGGAAAATACCACCAAAAACCTAAACTATGCCATTTGTGATAAATTTACCTGAACTTTTTTTTGTGACACGAAAAATCTCAAACTATGCCACTTGTGATAAATTTCCCAGAACTTTTTTTGTGACACGAAAAATCCCAAATTATGCCACATGTGACATATTTACCCCACTATACTTTGGCCCATGGGTATTTTCATCTTTTTCCTTTTCTGTTTTCTTTTTCTTTTTTTCCCTCTTCCCTCCGCCGGCCATGGCTGAGGGAAGCCGACGAGGGCTACCTTCGCCTAATCCGGCAAGGGCGACCCTCGCCTGGGTGGGCGAGGGCAGCCTCGCTCAACGCCGGTTAGGGTTGTCCTCATCGGATCGGCGAGGCGACTTCCCGCTCGACTTAGGCGGCCGCCCTCGCCGGATCCGGCTTTATCAGCGAGGCGGCCACTCGCCGGATCTAGCAAGGGCGACTTCGCCCGACTTAGGCAAGGGCCGCCCTCGCCGACGTCGAGCAAAGGCGCCTCGCCCTCCCGAGGGCGAGGGTCGCCCTTGCCGGATTCGGCAAGGCGGCTCCGCCGACGGCCGTGCGAGGGTAGCCCTCGACGCCGGATCCGCGAAGGTAGCCCGTCGGCTTCCCTCCACATGGCCGAGGCGGAGGGAAGAGAAAAAAAAAATAGAAAATTGAAAAGACGAAAATGCCCATGGACCAAAGTATTGTGGGATAAATGTGTAGAAAGCGTAGTTTGGGGTTTTCAGTCACAAAAAAAAAGTTCAAGATAAATTTGTCACAAGTGGCATAATTTGGGATTTTTGGTGGTATTTTCCCATAAAAAAGAAAAATAAGAAAACATAATGATTATCATTTATGCACTTAGTCTCGAGTTCAGCCTAATATCTGAGGGAGGTAGTGTTTTGATTCGAACTGTCATATCCAAAATAATTTCGTGTTTGGACTGGGGGTGGCGATCTTCGATGCAACATGAAGATTTGAAGGGGAAAAAGCTCAATCCAATAGCACGCGACACGGCATGATAGATTTAATTTAAAATCGATGTACATTGATATGTCTTCACTCGGTTTGACTGAAAATCACAAAGGACGCAAGTAATCGAAACATATATGATTACTCGACCCTAATTTGGACAGTCAATGCCCACTCATCAGACGGCGGTGGTGATTTTACCTTATTAATGACATTCACTTCCTACATTGAGATCTCTCACCATAAGCAACGAGGTGGAATAAACTTTACTCATAGCTTTTTGTTTATATTTATCTTTTCAAATTGATATTTGACTTTCATTTAACTAAACATCTTGGAACTTTATAAACTTTGACATTCTGTTTGTATGCTTTTGTTTAAATACATTTTGCTTTTTCTGCAGAATTTTGAAGTGAAAAAAAAACTTTATTTTGAAAATTGAAAATGTGATAAAAAAAAAATACTAAGTGACTCATCCATAATTACATGTTTCGAATGGTTTCAAATTATTTCGACGTTGTCAATTTCAAAAGCCACAAAATAGGGAAAAAAAAGTGAAAACTACCCGTTTGTTCGGCTTTAAGCCAACCAAGGAAATCCCATTATAATTTCCCATCAATGTAAAACATACTTTTCGTTCGTTGAAAAAGGTACAAACAAATTTAGAGTGGCTTTAAAGTTTAAATATAGGTGCTTACAAAAACGCTTGGCCCTTGTAAACGTAAAAAAGAAAAAGTTAAAGTTATATCTTTTCATATCTAAGTGATCGATTTTTACAATGAGTGAAGATAATATCTATCTTTTCCTACCTTTCTCATTGATGATTTCTTCTCTTTGGCCAATCTTTATTAGCAACATTATCGATGTAATGACTTCTGGGTAAATATCACACTTGGTCCTTGTAATTAGCCAAGATGGGCTGTGACTTTTCCTAAGGGTGGTTCCAATTTAGGCAGGCTTGAACTGGAAATGAGGATGCCTGCATTGCAAATGGTTGAATTGATACTGTTAAGTCACGTGGGCTTTCCCCCTTCTCTCTTTCTTTTTATTTTATTTATTATTTTATGGTTGTTTATTGGTGTTTAGGGCTTGGCCCATCTAATGTAAACGATTATCTATTTTAAATAGAAGAAGTGTGTCAAACCTAGTGACACACTGAATTCTCTCTCTAACGCCGCTCTCTTCTCTCCTTCTTCTTCGCCATTTTCATGGTATCAGAGCAAGGGTTTGTTTCATCCATTGTTTTGATCGGCCCTCACCTTCTTCTCCTTCTTCTTTTCTTTTTTTCTTTTTTTTTCTTTTCTTCTATAATGGACATACAACATCATGGCTTCTAAGCCCTGATTTGTGCGGCTTGCCTGAGTGGTGTAAAGTTTGGTCTCCTTGTTCGGTCCGAGGTGCCGGTTTCTTTGCGTAGAGACCTAGCAAGTGTCTCCCTTTTCTTTTGCAACAACAATGGCGGGAGATGATCGACGGAAGGAGGTGAAGACGGGTGATGGTTCTACGAGCTCCAGCAGTACCGAGGGTGTTGTCTCTTTCCCAACGAGACTGTCCGATGAAAAATTGGAAGGAGCCCTAAATTTTCAGATTTGGCGAAAGACTATTCTTGTCTGTTTAAAAGGTATGGGTAAGGCTAAATACTTGACTGATTTGCCTCCTGAGTCTACCGACCCTAATTATTTGAGTTGGGAGATTGAAGAGAACCGTATCTTCGGACTTCTTTTAAATTCCATGGATCGCAAAGTTAAGGTTATGATTGCTAATTGTCCGACGGTTCAAGATGTGTAGAATCGTTTGGCACTACTATATTCAAACACCAACAACAAATCTCGTGTGTGTGATGTGTTGAAGAGATTATTTCAACTCAATCAGGAGGAGCGGCCTATTCAAGAGTTTTATACTGAGTTTCAGGCCCTGTTTGATGAACTTGATTTGTTGTGGCCGATTCCAACTAGTCCTGATGAGATGATTGCCCAGAAGGAGCAGCTTGGTGTTATGTGTTTCTTAGGTCTTCATCCCGGACTTGAGCCAATAAAAAATCAGATCCTCTCCGAGAGGGTTCCCATATCTATTTCTGAGGTCTATAATCGGCTAAGTAGTGTTACCATTGGGGCTCATACTCCGTCTGTGCAACCAGAATCTAGTGACAAATCCGCCCTGTTCTCTTTTTCTAGGAGTGGTGGATCACGTGGTGGTCGTGGAGGTCGTGGTGGCCGTGGTGGTAGTAAGGACCAACGTGTTTGTCATCATTGTGGTATGCCCGGTCATCTAATGAGCAACTATTATAAGTTGCACGATTATCCGAGTAGC